GGGAACATTTCTGCTGTCAAGGAAATATCTCAAGTTCCTGGAGCCTAGAGAACTCAGAAACAGGAGAGGCAGTCACTGAGGAAGGAAGGACCAGCAGAAAGGGGACACAGCAAGGTGACGGGCTTCATAAGCTTCACCAGGAGCAGCTTCAGTCAGACCTGAGAAGTGGGGGGGATTCTCCAAGCTGGGAGGGACCTGTGGGGACCAGAGATGAGGCCCTGACATGACTAAGGTTGTTGGCATCTGGCACTAGAGAGGTCAAGGGCAGGAGGCAGCTTCAGGTACTAGAATGGTATCCACTGAGGTGTGAGGATGGACAGCCTGGCTGCCCTCCTGGGGGCGGGGGGGTAGTGGGGAGTGAAGAGCAGGAGCCCGAGGCCTTCAGGGGAGCCCTCAGTCCTACTGTAACATTTCCTCCTAGGAGCGGCACACCAATCAGGCCACAGGCCAGATCTGTCCTGCCCCCTCCTGTCTCAAGGGGGAGACTTCTCTCACTGGGGAAACTAGGGGACAGAAGTGTCTACTTCTTGTTGGATGTCCCTATAGTCATCCTGTCTACAGAGACCAGGACCCTGCTGGCTCCTCCAAGCTCAGGTGCACAGGGAGAGGGAGCTGCATGGGTTGGGGTGAGAGGGATGGTGTTTGGAATAGTTTGAGGCTGTGTGGGTAATCCCAATTCTAGGGTTCAGCCTTAGAGATTCCTTCATTGTCACACATATAAGCCACACTCCAACTTCAGCTTTATCAGCCCTGTATTTCTGCTTAAAGGGAGGATGGTGGTCCCCTCTCTCTCCTTTTTGCTTACCTCTCAGATGCTTTGCAACTCAGATAGAAAAAAAGGGATACAATTTGGGGGGACTCTCATACCCTAAAGGGTTCGGGCAGAAGCTGGGGGCATATAGCCACTTGCAATTGCATAATTGCGATACAATTGTCCCCTGGGTTCAGTGGATATGGGTGGTAGTATTTCAGCTTTTAAGGCCTTAGATGAGACTGAGCCCAAGCCTGATCTCCCTGCCCTGGGTCCTCTGCTTAACAGAGCTAAGGGGGCGGAGATTTTGGACACTTGAGGCTGCAAGTTTGGATGATACCAGAGGAATTATTGAAGGTGGAAATGTGATTATTTCTGTTGGAAGGGAGAGAATCCTCTGAAAGGGGGATGAATGGGAAGAGCTATCATGGTAGACGAAAAACAGACTAAAGGGTGAGAGTTTGTGGGGAATGGGGAAGGGAAGGGGAGCAGAGGACGTCCATCTGGGCACCTCCTGAAGGTCCAGGGACCATCCATGAGAAACACCCCTGAGGAAGCCTATGATCCTCATGCAGCATTAAGAGGAAGGAGGCTGCCTGGGCTACACCCCAGTCCCCACATTGCATCTGCATCTTCACCCCTAGTCCTTCAGCTTAAGCCCCTATTGTATGCACATCTGGACAAGGGCAGATATGCCCTGCACCTGGCACAGACTCCCTTGGCCCACTGGTAATCAGCTCATTCATCTTTGCCATGACCAGACCAGCCAGTGAGGCCATCCACAGGTACGCTGCATGCACAGAGGGCAAGAAAGGGGCCTCTGATGTCATCTCTCATTTTGGCTGCCCAGGGTCTCCATCACCCAGGTCCACCACCTGCTTTCCTCCCAAACTTGGTCTGGCCAGGTCCACACTCCCCTCTAGTGACCTTGAGCATTATTACAGTCTGCGTAGAGCTGGCTGTTTGGGGAAATAGAAACCGAAAATGCTTTTCTTCTCAAGACCATAGCTATATATTCATTTGAAATTTTTTTTAAAATTGTAGCTTTCCAAATGCAACGGGAAGTTTGTTACTTTTCCCTTAGGTCAAATCAGTGAGAATGAAGAATGGCTTGAAGAAAAAAGAAAGGGAAGTTTATTAACTTGTTGACAAATGAGGAGAGTAAGGGGACTAGCATCCCAGGGATCACCACCCTCCCTTTAAGCAGAAATACAGGGCTCGTTACAAGGAGGTTTTCAGCAGTGGGTCTTGACCAATGTCATATGTCCTGGCTTAGGCTACTGTCACTTTACTATCTTTGGTGTTTTCATTCTTGGGTCTTGGGCCATGGTGACCTTATCCTCAGTCACTTGATCTTTTGTTCCTTGTCCTTGTCTGGAAAATCCTGTTTTCAATAATAAAGAACAAACAGCAGAAAATATTTTTTCCACTCCTTTGATTACTGTCCTTGGGATGAAATGCAAGTTTTAATTCTCAAAAAGGGTGGATGTTACAGACAGCAACTCATGAAACATTCCATTGCCTTTTCCCACCTTCGCCTCTATTGCAAATTCCCCACTGTCAACTTTAAACTCCACATCTATGTGAGAAGGGATGACCTAGTCATCAAGCTACTTCCTGCTGAATTTGGGCAACATTTTTTTTTCTTTTGAGACAGAGCCTCAAGCTATCATCCTGGGTAGAGTGCCGTGACATCACATCTCACAGCAACCTCCAACTCCTGGGCTTAAACAGTTCTCTTGCCTCAGCCTCCCAAGTAGCTGGGACTGCAGGCACCCACCACAACACCTGGCTGGTTTTGGGTTGTAGTTGTCATTGTTGTTTGGCGAGCCCTGGGCTGGATTCAAACCCACCAGCTCTGGAAACAGGCAAAGGAGGGTATAAACAACAACAGGCAAAGGAGGCTATAAACAACAACTACAAGCATGAGGAAGGACAAGGGGAAATAGAGGAACCCTAATAAGAAGGATTTTATCCTGTTTGGGAACCAAGAAAGAAAATTAGAAAACCAATTACCTAACCCTGCCCCCAAATCTCCACTTTTTGCAATTTGCTGCCACTAGCTTGTTGCCTAATATTCTCAAAACGTACTTCCACCTCTGCAGAGTAATCTATCTAAGCACAACATGAAAAATTAGCTAAACACAAATGCCTCCCTGCTCTGCAAAAATATTATCCAGAACTAC